GAAAAGATTGTTTTTATGGAGAATTTGAATGAAAGACATGGGTCAACTGGCATACAAGATCAGTGATGCTATTTCAAGCAGCACAACATCACAGAAGATGGGTTAAAAATGAAAGAAGGAAGAGCAGAAAGAAAAGAATATAGCTACATTAGCATTTTTTTCTTCCAATTTTCTATCAATGTGCTACTACCAGTACCACTGAATTCTCTAAAATCCTTGTGCTATGACAACATTCCAGCCCTACTTCCAGTTGCCATGATATTTTATTGGTCTCATGTTTGAGGAAAGTTTAGTCATATAAATTTGTGGGCATTTCCTGAGATACAGCCCTTAAAAAATTACCCTCAGCATTTCACATATTCTACCAACATTTTCTTTCTTGCATCAGAGACTTGAGCCATGCCTCTGATAATCCCCCAACTCAGTTGCTTGATATTTATCCCAGCCATTATGTGGTGCCCCTTTGGAGAAGCAATACTGAAAACATTTAGGAAAGAGTTTTGTTCAGTAGGTTAGCATGTACTAAACATACAACAAGGATTGTAAAGCTTACGTGGAAAAACTAACAAGAGTGCTAATTTACCGAGTGGAGAACCTGCATAATAAAGAAAGCGTGCGAAGATCTGGCATGCTGCTGTTTGTGATGTGTGTATGCTGCAGCAGGGGGCGCCAGATAGCAAGGAGCAACTTGTGTGTGTTAATAGCTTCTAAAGTCCTAAGAAATTAATATATCAGGCAACCTTAACTCTACATTAATGAAGTTTATTGTTAGTTGGTTGAGTATTTTCTGGTATAGTAGTCACCACGGACAAGATGGTGGTTCAGAGCATTTCTAAGTGATGTAATTAAACAACAGCAACCAGTACTGTGCAGTAATGCTCCTATCCCTGCTAGTCTCAAGGGGATTGCCAGAGTGATTGTATAACAGTGCAAAGTGAAGAAATATGCTAGTGTAACTGTGGCTGAAGGTGGTAACTAGGCAGGAAGTTTCAATGAAGACAGAGAAGTAGGATCGAGAAAGATACAAAAGAAAGAAAGTAAGTGTGTAACAGCAAAGATCCTTGTTAGTGAGATTCACAAGTGTGAACCTGATATGGAAAGACACTAGTGGAGGAATTCATATAAGGGATTCATGTGATCTGAACACTGAGCAAGAGAGGTGATAAAAGGAAAATTAACATTGTCAGCTATTGGCTTTTTTTGGCCAGTACAGCTAATAATGTCACTGATAAAATGTCGTGTGCATGCGCTCAGGTACAGGCATGCACACAGCCAGGAATACAGCCAGGCAGGCTGGAGAGCAGCATCCAGCAAGTACATCTGGGATGGTGGGGGGAAGGGGAATGGGGGAGGGAAGGAGCTTGGGGATGCAGATTGAGGCCCCCATGGTGAGGAAGAGAGTGGGGCAGGGGCAGGTGCTGCCCAGCCAGGGTGCTGAATGGGACCATGGGGCCAGGACTGGGATGGAGCTGCAGGTGTCTAGTCCAGAGGATGCAGGTGGGTGGGAAGGGGGGGCCAGCTCTCCACCACTGTGCACACCCCTGGGGGAGGCATGGGGTGCATGTGCCTCCCCCCAACCCAGATCTGTGTGTGGGGAGAGGGCAGGCTGGCTGCTGCAGGCTTGGGGCCAGTGGCTGTGTCAGCCTCTTTCCAGCGGTGGGGCTAGGCCAGGACTGGACTTGAGGTGGGCTCAGCTGCACAAAGCTAGCAGTGGTGCTGGGAGGGGTGCCTACAGGGGGAGTTATAGGGAATTTTGGGGTAGCTATAGCCCCTCAAGCACTCCCCACAGTGCCACCCCTGCTCAGGCTCCCTCAGCCTGCCTTCACCCCACGCTTAAATCCAGGGGGGAGGGAACATGTCCCCTCATGCCTCCCTCTGGCGTGTGCACAGCAGCAGAGAGCCACCCCCCCCACCCTCCAACCCCCTGTTCCCATGTCTCTGCACCCCTTGGACCAGCCGCTAATGGCTCCATCCCACTTTTGGCCCCAGGGTCCCATCCACTACCCTTGCTGGGCAGCCCCTGCTCTACTTCCGCCCTCACCATGAGGGCCTGAATCTGCACGTCCCCCCCCCCCATAACCCTTTCCTCCCCTCCTCCCCCTCCACAGACTTAACAGCAGGAGGTTGCTCTTCCAGCTGCCTGACTGCATTCCTGTAAATTGGCTATCAGATTGGTATTGGCTGATATGGGTGGTTAATATGTGGCTATTGGTATTGGCCAAGAAAATCTTTATTATTGCATCCCTACTTGCTGCTAAGAAAGGAAACAGCATACTAGGCTGCATTAGTAGGAGCATTGCCAGCAGATTGATGTAAGTGATTAATTATTCATTTCTCTTCTGCACTGGTGAGGCCACAGCTGGTGTACTCTGAACAATTTTGAGCCCCCCCGCTATAGAAAGGATGGGGAGTAACTGGAAAGAGTCCAGCGGAAGGCAATAGAAATGGTTTGGGGAATGGGGCACATGACTTCGGAGGAGAGGCTAAGGAAACTGGGCTTACATAAGTATATAAGGGGCACATATCAGGGACTGGGAGAACTTTACAACTTGAGTGTCCAGGGTCTGGAGTAGACTGCCCCCAGAAGTGGTACAATCACCTACTCTGGATATCTTCATAAAACGTCTGGATGCTCACCTTGCTCGAGTCATGTGACCCCAGCAGTCTTTCCTGCCCAAGTGGCTGGACCTGATGATCTTGAGAGGTCCCTTCCAGCCCCTAACATCTATGAATCTATTTATTCTGCAAAAGAGAAGACTGAAGGGGGGATTTGATGGTAACCTTTAACTTCCTAAAGCGTGGTTCCAAAGAGGATGGAGCTAGACTGTTCTCTCAGTGGTGGCAGAGGACAGAACAAGGAGGAATGGTTTCAAGTTGCAGTAAGGGAAGTTTAGGTTGGATATTAGGAAAAACTTTCTCACTAGGACAGTGTTGAAACACTGGAACAGGTTACATAGAGAGGTCACTGAATCTCTAACCTTGGAGGTTTTTAAGGCCTGGCTCAAAAGCGCCCTGGCTGCAATGAAATAGTTGGTGATGTTCCTACTGTGAGCAGGTGGTTTGACTATATCAGCTCCTGAGGTCTCTTTCAACCCTAATTTTCTATGATTCTTTTTGAAGACTGAAATGCCCCTCAGTTTTCTTTTCTCCAAACCAGAGTGGAAGAATCACTTCCCTTTATTTTCAAGTGACACTCCTGTTAATACAGGGCTGGGCAATTATTTTGGGCAGAGGGCTGCTTACTGAGTTTCGGCAAGCCATTGAGGGCCACATGACAGGCAGCCAAGGGCAGATTAATATTAATTTTTTAAATTTTTTAGGGGCCCTGTGGGTCAGATAGAATGGCCTGGTGGGCCACATTTTGCCCATCCCTGTGTTAATACAAACCAGTATTCTCTTGGCCTTCTTTAATGAAAGCTCACTGTTGACTCATATTCAGCTTATGGTCTGGTGTAACACCCATTTTCTTCTCTGCAGTACTGCAGCCTAGCCAGTCATTCCCCAATCTGTGTTTGTGCATGCAATTAATTTGTCCTGAGTGAAAGATTTTACACTTAACCTTTTAAATTTAATTTGGCTGATGTAGACAGTTTTTCTGTTTTTTGTGGACCCTAGCCCTAACCCTCTAGAGTTTCTGCAACTCCACCCAACTTGGTGTCATCCACAGATTTGCTGAGTTTGCTCTCACACCCAGGACCCAGGACAGATCCCTGGGGAACCCACTTGATACCTCCTCCGAAGTAGACAGTGAACCATTAATGTCTATTTGTTGAGCACAATGATTAAACCAGTTATGTATCCACCTTACAGCACTTTCATCTAGTCTGTATTTTCTTAGCTTTTTAATGAGGATGTTGTGGGAAACAGTATTCAAAGCCTTACTAAGTCAAGGTATATGACATCCGCTGCTCTCCCCTTATACACTAAGTCTGTCACCTTATAGAAGAAAATCAAGTTAGTCAGGCATGACTTGCTCCTGGTAAATCCATGCTGGCTGTTCCTGATCCCCTTTTTCTGCTCTAGGTGCTTCACAGTAAATTCCTTAAGGACCTGCTCCATGATGTTAGTAGGGATGAGTCTTGCAGATTGGGGTGGAGGAGGGAGATTCTTCCTCTCTATTCAGCACTGATAAGGCCTCACCTGGAGTACTATGTCCAGTTTTGGGCCCCATACTTTAAGAGGATGTGACCAGATTGGAAAGAGCCTGGTTTAGAGCAACAAAATGATTAGGGATCTGGGAAGCAAGACTTATGAGTAGGGATCTACTCAATTCACAATTTCACAGTTTTCATGGAAACTGCAAAAAAAAAGCGGTTTCTGTGATCACAAGACAAATTCTCTGCAATTCTGCACAGAATCACTGGGGGAAAAAAACTTACTAGTTTTTACTTACACCAGCCAAGATGAGAACTGCCGCCTCCTCCCTCTGCCGCTGACTGGCTGAGAGAGCTGCCTTTTGTGTGGCCCCACCCCTCTCCACCAATCATTGGCACAGGGCGGGGCCACATGAAGGGCAAGCCTCTCCACCAGTTAGTGGTGAGGGGTGGGGCCGCTGGGGCCTCTTGACCAATCAGCAGCAGGGGAGAAGGGGCTTGCCATGAAAAGGCTGTGAAAATAGCACTGGGTACTGCAAGCAGTCTGCAATATTTGCTTCCCCCCTGCATGTTTTAAGTAGATCCCTACTTATGAGGAAAGGCTGAAGCAGCTAGGGTTATTTAGTCCAGACAAGAAAAGACTGAGGCAGGATTTGATAACAGCCTTCAAATACCTAAAGGGCACTAACAGAGAAGATGAAGATGGTCTTTTATCTGTGGCCATAGGGGACAAGACTAGGAGCAATGCTCTAAAGCTGCATCAGATTAAATTTAGGTTGGAGATTCGGAGGAATTTTCTGACTATGATTTTGGTCAAGTAGTGGAAAAGTCTACCTTGAGAAATTGTGGAATTTCCAACCCTGGACATTTTCAAGAGCGAGATAGACACTTGGCTTGGATGTTTTCATTAGGGATGATCCTGTCTGGAGCAGGTGGCTGGATTAGAGGACCTTGTAAGGTCCCTTCCAGCCCTACTTTCTTATGATCTTTCCAGGTGTTGAGTTCTATAATTCCCTGTATTCTCCTCCTCTTTCCTAAAGATGGACGTTATATTTTCTTTTTCCAGTCATCCAGGACCTCAGTCATAGAAGTAATGAAAACTGGGGCCAGTTAAGATACCAATAAAGGAAAAAAGGAGAGGAGGCCTTCCACAGTAAACTAACTCTTCATATTCTGAGAAAAGAGATGGCTAGTTCTTGGGTGTTAACTTGAGTAAGAGAAGTTACATCCCTACTCTCAAGGTGAAGCACCTTGAATTGGGGGATTTAAAAAACAAAATACTTTAAAAATTAAATGTTTAAGTGTATTGTATATTTCTACACTTAAGAACAATCTTTTTCTTCACAATGCTTTACCTTCTTTCTTAAAGTTATGAGTATTAGAGGGAATAACACATTTCATATAGTGTAGGTGTACTGGAGACTTGCAGGATCCACTTATTGGTTACTGTCAGCCTCTGACATCACAGAGCATGTGAGATGTGTTTTTTTCTATTTATGACTGCATACCTTGTCATGTGGTGTTACTTGCACACAGTACTGCCATAACTTGCCAAGTAAACATGCATAACATTTCAGATTCTCATGAGAGCTACAGGTGAGAGAAAGAAAACAGGAATGAGACCTATTTATTAGTTGAGCCCTTGACTACAGTCACATGTTACTGGAAATTCAGTGTGAATTTTTAAAAGCAGTATTAAGTAGAGCAAATACGGTATGTTTATTCAGGAACGGAATCTTTATTAAAATATTTAGACTTACTGGAGGTTTAAGTTCAGTATACGATGCTAAATTATATCAACTTCTGTTGCCTGAAAAGATTATATTGTACATCATTTGGTGTAATGGAAATAATCCCAAATTAATCATTAAAAACAAGTTGTGTTTTAGTCCAGCCTAAATTTTCTAGGTTAAAGAAAGAGGTATTTGGGTGGAATGTAAAGGCCCATGAAAAGGATGGACTTGATTATCTAATGGTCCTTAAATGTTATAAATCAATATAAAACATAGTGGTCCTATGTGGTCATAGCATTTAAGTAACAGGGGAAGATCATTAAATTATGACAAAGTTGTATGCCATTTTCATTATAATGCTAAATAAATGTACTTTTCCAATGATCTGCTTGGCTGCCACAAATTCAGGCTACTACTAACAGCCTAAGTCAACCTTTGTACATTAAAGAAAACATGCTGTACTGTGTCAGCATTTATATTCCTTCTCTTCTAATTGCTTGGTATTTTTGTTAAAGGGAGTGAATACCCAACAACTGCGATTCTGAGATATGGTCCAGCAAGCCCATTTAAAGGACACTTAAGTACTAAGAGTAATGGTAAGCAAAGGGCATGATTTCATAAAAGGGTTTGCATGATTGTCTTATATATTTTTTAAATATTTTTTCATGGAAACTTTTAACTTGAAGTTTTGTTTTCCAGAAGTTTTAACAGGAATGATTTGCAAATTTACTTGACTTTGATAAAGAACTTCTCTTTATATCTAACAAGAAGGTTTTAAACATCCTTGTGCTTTTGTTGGCTAGGATGTCTACTGTCCAATAAAGTAAACAAATGCTTTATTTTATCATTAAGCATAGCTCTATAGTTATTTCCTGTCAAGTATTGTCTTAGTAGAATGAGGAACACAGCATACTAATATGATATTGAGTTTGTTTCCGTTCAGAAAAGAAAGACAGAAACTGCCTCCCATTCAGCGGAGCACTTTAGCATGTTTAAGAACTTTTAAATTTGCAAGTAACCCCATCTCTGTTATGTAAACTCTGTAAGCTAAACTTTTCTAAACTGTGGGGATTTCTTGGGCCTGTCTAACCTAGAAGTTTTGTGCCCCAAAGAAATCTTAAAAAGTAGCAATTTAGACTTTGGGAACCCTGTAAATTGTTGACCATGTTGAACGCCCACTAACGTGAGCACCTTTCAGTTTAGGATGTTACTCCAAAAGCCCTGAATTTAGAAATTTATCTTTTCAACATAGATTTGTAACATCTCTAATAACTCTAACAATATGAATGATATTTTCCTGCAAGCCCTATCTTGGGGGTTGGTAGGTAAGTGAGTTGGGGGAGAAAACTGCTTTAAATATATGATATTGATAAAATATACACATTCTGTTATTTATTCACAATAAAACATTGTTTAAAAGTGTTATTTCTGCCCTTGTACAATCACAGACTATCTGTTCTTTCAACAGCTACGTCTGAATGAGATAGAAATGATGGGGGGAAAAATGAGTTTTAGTAACTCAACATTTTAGATATAAAATCCTACCAAGGCAGCTTGTTAATGTGGATGAAAGAAAATGTGTGGGGATGATGAGTAGCAAGACAGCTGAACTTGAGATTCTCATGCTCTGCAAGCCAGCCTTTAAAGGGAGGAGACAGCACACTCTTCTGAGCACAGCCTGCAGTGTGCTTTCTTTAGAGCAGTGATTCTCAACTAGGGTACTGTGGCAGTCAGTTCACAAAAGTTAGGGTGTGTTGCTTGGAGTCTAACAAGGTTGAGAACCTTTTTTTTACAGTTTACAGGAATCAGAATGAGTGCTTGGACACAGAGGAAGGAGAAAGGGTAGCAAGAGGAAATGAAATCTTTGAATGAAAACCTCAGTACCCTCTCCCCTGTTTCTGAAATGGACTCTTTGGAAAGATGTAACCTTGATGCATATCCAGCCTGAAGTTGGCAGGGCAAAGGCAAGAGCAAGTCAATCTTGGATATCTTGTGACCTTCACTATCTAACATTGACTGCTGTGTGGGCAGCTCTTGCTTGGAATAGTGTTTGGGTTTGAACTACACAATAACTACTTTCCTTTTAAGCATTTTTACACCAGGTTTTATAATACTCATGAATGTGTTTTAATTTTACAGCTTTTTGCATTGATTCCTCTCGGAGCCTGTGTAAGCAGTACCTGATCAGGGATCACATGGTTGTTCATTATAACAAAATCCTTTCAGCCAAAGGTAAAAATGTCCATAAATGAGCCTTTTGAATCCAATTTGAGGTCCTTCATTCACTTTGCATTAGAATAGACCTGTCATAAGAATAGATGATTTGCATTGTAGAATTTCATTTTTTTCTGGTTCATTTCTTTTCTGACATCAGTTTGAGTAAAAGCTGCTTCATAATAATACAAAGCTGTGAAAATAAATTCAGTAACTGTGTATTGTTTGTTTTTATATGAATTTCCTTATTCATTATTCATTGGTGTGATTACAGCGTGTTTAATGCTACGTGCATTCATTTCACTTTTTAATTATTGATTTAAAGCAATAGAAAAGACAAAAGTATTATTTAAATGTGCAAATATCATAGCAAAAATAGATTAGTTGCTTTAGGAATAAACTTAGAAAATTTTCATCATTAAAAAGAAACAGCATAATCTTAAAAGTTGCTAAGCACTGGGAGATCACACTGAAGTTTTGAGTATTCAGGATTTGAAAATTGTCCTAAATGTTGATAAATGATGACATGTTATTAATTATTATTTTTACAGTAGTACAAATAACAGATGATCTTTACATATAAGTAAATTCTGATTCTCCAGTAACATTTTTCAAAGAACAAATGTTAAGGAAACCTGGCAATCCAGAGCAAAGGTTAGCTCCACACCTTCATTTTCGTCTGGTATAAGAATGAAAACACATGAGATGTATCAGGAAGATTGCTTTTGTCTGTGAAAAGACAAGGCTCATTTGGGGTGTCTGATAACACTGAGTTTATAAAGGAGGGAGGCAACCATTGTCTTTCCGTAGTGTAGATGTTGTTTCCTTATGAACTGAGAATCCAGCCCTCTGTCCTTTCTTCTCATCTCACCCCTGTGATTGTATCCTCTAGTCTTTTGCTTGTTATGGGATGAAGGTTAAAGGAAAGGTGGAAAATGACACTGCTTATCCTAAGTATCCTATGATCTCACCATGAGATCATAAGAACATCACGAATACGAAGTTAATAATTAAAAAAACACTAGCGTTAGTGGACAGGTCATGCTTAGGAAAATGACCCGGTAGCTTCAGTATATGATGTTAATGCATGTGCCTCATTTGCAATTATATTTCTTGAAAATATGATAGGAAGGAGAATATTGACTGTGCTGTCCATACCAATGCATTGCTAGTATACAAGTTAATGTAATTTAGCCAAGAACTTCTCTTTCTCCCTTGGATCTCTGCCAAGATTCTTGCTCCTACAGCATTCTTCCAAAGATGGTATGCTATCCTGATTAGTACTTTACAGAAATATACTAGCGTCAGTCAGATGAGAAATAAGGTTCACATTTTTATCAATGTGGGTAATAAACCATTGGAACAATTTTCCTAGGATTGTCACCTTATAATCTGTTAATCACGTTATTCTGCATTGCGTTATTATCCACTTTTTCTTACTAACCATGTAATTGCATTATTTAATTTTTTTATAAATTTAACATTTCAGGATTGCATGAAATTAGGGGCATTGGGGGCAGACAGTTTATTAATAACAAATGTACCTTCTGCTGCCAGCTGACAGGCAGAGCTGCCTTCAGTCCCAGGTCTGCTCGCTTGTAACTCCTTTGTCCAATTTGTCACTTCGTCTTCCATTTTTGTCAGTGCCCTGGGGTTTCTGGGAGTTACAGTCCAAACTGCACTCAGCATGATTCTGTAGGACTGCTCCCCCAGTTGTCACACATCCAATCAGCCATCATTTTTCTTACATCACCTTTCAATAAGCTTTGAATATTAATAATGGAAATAGTTTCTTGTCGGTCTGTGATTGTGAGGTAAAATCAATGTTTATCAATGTTTACCAATAAAAAATGAATCCTGTCAAGTCTACCCAGGCAGTAAAGTAAAGGAATGTATTGTGGCCTTCATTCTCACTGAAATGCAGGTTTCTGCGCAAAAAGTCTTTAATTTTGCATGCTAGATGTTGCACAAGTAGCCTGCTTGTGAATGCAAATACGTTCTGGGAGTAGGGATTTTTACAGTCTGCTTTGCATGGTATCTTCACATGCACAACATTTTCATGTTCTTCTGCCAGTTGAAATGCAGCTGATCCCAAGTACCCTACCTTGTATTGCATTTTTTATGTTTTTGTACCAAGGTGTAATTCAGATTTCCAACAAGCCTTTTCTAGCTCCTGAAACTGTGCTCTTTCCACTTAAATGACATGAAATAAATATTTAACTCCTGTCTTTTGTGCAACTTTAGTATGTTTCTACAAAGATTAAATAATTATTAAATTTTTAAATATTTTTATCATGCCCTTATGCAAGATTGCTTATAAACATTAAAGAATCAAGTGAAAAATAGGTTACAAAGCTATGCTTCACATCATTTTTAAGTCACATACTAGAGTATGAAGTGGAAGTTAATTAGCAGTGGTCGTGTTTACACATGCATTAAGGAGGTTTTCCTAATGTGCATTAGGTTTGGTACCTCCAGGCATTTATAGATGTACTCTGGAAGGCAGCATGGGGGTGAGGGGAGAGGGCAGGGTGTGCGAACTTTAATTAACTCAGCTCCAAATCTGTGCTAATTAAAAGTGCCCAGAGCATCATGTGTATCAGCATCCCTGTGCTAAAAAATGGCAGCAGGGTGCTTTGAACTAAAGTTTGTTGAACGAGCTTTAAAGTGCCCCATTGCCACTTTTCAGTGTTGGGATGCTGATACACATGATGCTGGAGTCTGCTGGACACGGTAATTACCACACTCTAGGAGACTTGATTATTCTTAATCAAATCTGGTCTGACTTAATCAAGTCTGCTCTGACGTGCTGTAATTACGGTGTGTCGAAACAATCTCCCTGCACATGTATAGGAGTTCTCTAATGTGAAGTACTAAACAAATGCGCATTAGGCTGCCCTATTGTGTGGTAACAGATGTGCAGTGTTTAAGTGATGCTTAATGTGCAGTAGCCTATTTTACTGTGCATTAGCACAAAAGCACAGTTTTTTACGACACACTTTAATGTGCAGTAAAATAGGCTACTGCACTTTAAAGTGCATGTGTAGACATGCCCACTATGTTTAAAATTTAATATACATAATACTAAGAAAAGAAAAAAAACTGTAGGTTTTTGTTGTTTCTCATCACTGTAGCTCAGGCTCACTTTTTGTGACAGAAACTGATTATTAGCGTTCCAATTCTGTAATTGTTAATGCTTATGCTTTAAGCACATAAAGCACAACTGAAATTATCAGCTTTTTTCATGCTTAAAGTTAAGTAGTTAAGTGTTTGCTGGATTGGAATCTACCTAATGGAAGGAAGACATTCCTTTCCTGCACCTCCCTGAATATGCATTATATTCTGCCATCTTCTGGTCCTTCTCAGAGAAGGTTTTGTAAATGGTAATGCCTATATTCCTCCTTATCCAAGCATCACTACACATATCCTTAGGGTTTGCTTTAAAGATGGGAATATTTAAGCTTTTATATCCATTAAAGCCTAAAGTCAACAAATATATTTTATTAACTGCATTGCATTGGGGAGCAATAACTTCAGGTATACAGCTACAGGCAGTGTTGTGTTTTAATTAAATTGTTTTCCATAATAGCAAACATATAGAAGTGTGTACAGAGAATGCTTATTTAAATGCTCAGCATCAAGCTTTTTTCTTTGGCATTTAACTGAATCCTTTAAAACAAGCCCACTGATTTGATTACATAGTAAACACATTTAAAGAACAGACAAACTGCTAAGCTTTAATTGAATAATCCTTCTTTCAGAGCTGTTTTGAAGATATTTTGTTCTAACCATAGCTAATGCTAAGTAAAGGAAGTTGAATCACTCACTCCTTTTAATTTTGTGTTTATTTTCAGCTGCCGTAGACTGTTCCGTGCCAAAAAGCAGGTTGGCTAGCATCAAATGTAAGTATTTCTTTTGAGTTGTTAATTCTTATAAAGGTTTTAGAAAGTAGTGTTTTATTTGCTGTTAACAATTAGCCCTGGACTCTACAGCATCAAAATTTATGATAGGAGCCTCAGAAACACAAGAAAAATCCTTGTCCCTGGCAAAAATATAACACAATACAACACAAGTGAAAGCACAAATGAAAAAGGAAGGACATGGGAAGGGCAAGGTAATGATAAAAGATCACACAGTTACACAGTAAGGCACCTGCACAGCTGCATGATCCCTTAATACTTTTTATTTCCCATCTTTGAAACGCTCTGTAATAAATGTAATGTTAATGAAATATATCCAGTCAACTGTTGAGAGCTATGGAGATTGAAGTGGAGAGTGGCTGCATCACAAGGTGGAGTACTGCAGTGTTCTCTCTTCTTCCTCCCTGCCAATGTGGTGTAATCCTGACCTGAAGGCACCATACCTGGGATGGGGAGGAGATCCAATTTCTCTATGCCCTTACTTTCTTTGAGGCTTTCAGCAAAAGTGCCTGTTAACACCAGGTCTGAAGTTGGTTTTTGAATGTGGACAGCTGCCTGCCACGGGCGGAACCAGAATGAACCCTAATAGCTTGTTTCACAGAAAATATCTTATCTCCATCAGGCAGCGATAACTACTTCCCTGGGCCAAACTGCATTTATCGGCATTGGTAGTTGCGTCTTTTATGTCTAGGACTATTTGTAATGACAGAATATCTGTTGTAACAATAGAAGAAGCTGAAAAGTAATTCCTTTCAAATAATTAATTTACTGAGAACTGTACTAAATGAAGAGCATCAGTCAAAGTGGATGAATCACAGTGGCTCATTAGCAAAGATATTTCTCCTCTAACTGCACTATATCCTTTTCAAGTTAGACACTGCTGATTTTCTGTATTTTGTATTGTAATTAGTAACAAATGCTGAGATTATGTTAAGTTACATTCGGGTATTCATTGTGGATGGGAGGAAGCTGCAAAGTGCTTCTTCCTCTCAAGGTGGAATCCTGACTCTCTTCTTGTTTCTCAGTTTGTCTAATAAAAGAGATCACATCTGCCCAAAGAACCTTGCCCACTGATGTCCTTAGAGACCAAAACAGCTACAACCAAAGACCTTCTTCTTTGTACTTTGTCACAAGTCAGTGTTGGGGGGGGGAAGGGATATCTGGCCTGGTGAAGGGGAGTTCAAATTCTCTTCCAGCAGTAAAATTTCACTGGGGATGTTCTTGCCCAAGGGGTCTCAGCTATCTATAGCTCTACTGCCTGTTGTGTTCAAGGATGCAGTGTGGAGAAAAGCAGTGTCACTGGACATTACTACAGCTGTGGTAAGAGTTTCAGATCAGCTGTCCTCAGAACCACAGCTTGGGAGGTATGATTCCTTCTCTTGAGATCCAAGCTCTATCAAGAGCTTCTCTGTACCGATCTTGACAGTTTGACATTGGTGTAGGAAAGATTTACTATTACCTGCATGCCTTAACAAAGTAAGCCTTTGCTGTTACAGTTCTCTCTTGTTGCCTCTGCCTGGCCTTTTCCCTTCTCTGTCCCCATGTCCCATTGTTCTTTGAGCAAAGATGCATCTCACACCTTGTGTGGTAGTCAGGTCTTTCCAGACTCAGTTAATGCCCTGCTATTTTTATTTTTTTAAAACAACACTCCTGCACTAAGGACATAAGATATCATACATTTCACACTGGAGTATATTTTTCCAAATAATATGAGTTCATGCCACAGACTGTGACTGAGCATTAACCTTAACCTTAGCCAATAATTGTAATGACACTAGCAGGCATACTCCTGAGTGGGAAAGGTTTTACTTCAGATGGGCAACCTGGGTACAATCTGTTTTCCTTTCAGTTCATCTTACTCAGACCACTTTCTATGTATTCTGTCATGGTTACAGATAGGGCTGCTCGAAGCTTCAGTCGCTGATTTGATTCAGCAGAGATTCAGCTCAATTTGGTGGCCGAATCTCTGAATCCGAACCGAATCAGGAGACCCTTTAATCTCTCTGAATTGAATTGGAACCCTCCGAATCCAAAGACATGCGGAAAGATTCAACGATTTGGACATAGACACAGCTTTAAATGCTTTTTCTACATACCTCAAGGTACCAGGCAGCTCATGAATGCTGAGATTCTGGGGTGGATGGAGCATCCCACAGGAGCATGGGGGGGTCCCCAGCACACTCAGCAGCAGACCCAGAAGTGGACCATAAGCACTTTTGGTCCACTTCTGGGTCCCCCAGGGAGCGTGCAGGGGGTCCTCCACACTCCCCTGGCTTGGCAACTGGTGCCTCCTGGGTCTGGGGGGACACCCGGGGTCCCCTCGCAGCAGATCACCGAGCTGAGGAGACATGGGGGGCACCCCTGCGCACTTGGCGACAGACTCAGAAGTGGACCAGAAGTACTTCCGGTTCACTTCCGGGTTTGCTGCTGAGCACGCGGGCCTCCCCACCCCTGCACTCCTGTGGGACGCTCCATCCACCCCACCATTGCAGCATTCACGAACCGCACCTGGTACCTCGAGGTATGTCAAAAAAATATTTAAAGCTCTGTCTATGGCCAAATCACTGATTCTCTGAATCAGCAGCAAATCTTCAGATTCGGATTTGGCCTAATTTAATCAGGACAGTAATCCGACTCAACAAATCAAATCACTGTCCCTGATTTGGGCTGAATCCCAATTGAATATGGCCTGTTTTGCACAACCCTAATTATAGATACAGTATATATCTCTCTCCAGTGTATAATGCAAATGTTTCACTTTTGCTACTGCTGCTGTTTTTGCCTATCTTCTTAGTAAAAGCAGTATACTAAATCTTCAATAAATTGCTCTTTCATCTTAGTTTCAAAGGGGGCTGAAACTAGCTTATTTGTATCTCATTAGAACATGCAGAAAATCTCATCTTGCCAACACAACTGGAACAAGAAGTTTCTTAGTTACAGCAGAAAAACATTTTTAGACAAGCAAGAAAAATGAATACTTTCAGTTGGAATATCTGGAAATGTTTTTTACAAACCTTATGTTCAAGCCCTGTAGCTAAGGCCCGGACTTATCACGTACTACTGGGCTCTCCAGTTTCTAAGTGTCCAGGGGCCACATGCCCCTGGGCTACACTAGCGGGGACTATTCACTCCACTGGCTGTACCAGCAGGGGTCATGGACGCCCAGGCCACATGCCACACTCCCTTCTCCACTGCAGTGCATACCCACATGGATGCCCCTCCTAAGCTACAACCCTGCACAGATACCCCTTCCCCCACAACCGCACCATACACCTCCAGCCTCACACTGAGTTCCCTGTGTCATGTTTCATTGCTGCCAAGGGCAGGTGCAGAGTACAGTGGCCAAAGGAAGAAGGGGGAACTAGGAGACTCTAGCTAGGGTGATCATATGTTCGGCTTTAGCTGGGACAATCCCGGATTTTGGAGGCTGGTCCTGGTTGGCTGATGTGAATTAAAATGAGCATCCCAGAAACCTAGGGGTGCAGGGCACAGTTTGATGGGGAGGTGAAGAGGTGCAGAGTGGCACAGTGCACCAGGTAGGCAGGGGGGCATTGCTTGCCCACCGTACCACCCCACCCCACTCCCACCTCTGCCTGCAGCAACACCACTGATTTGCGCGGAGGGTGGGGGCGGATAATGTCCCAGATGTCGCAGATGTCCTTATGATCAGCTTAACTCTAGCTGCCAGAGCAGGGGAAGTGGTGTGATTGTGTGGAAGCCCAGACGGCTGCAACTTAACCCATTAGGGGCTGCCAGCTGGACAGCCTGGACCTGTAATAAATTTAGCTCATCTCATTTCTAAAATAGGATTTAATTTTAAAATAATCTGCAACTCAAGAATTGGTGGGTTGTTCATGACAATCTTAGGTTTATAACTAAAATGTGAGCGTTTCCCTTCCCTCAGCCTTTCACCGTTCTGAACCTCCTACATTCTGAATCCTGTGATATTGCTGCTTTTTTGGATCCAGCTATGTTTTAACATATGGCTTGAATTGATTTTTAATTATTTTAATTAAATGGATAGTGCAGTTATGAGCTGTGACGATGAATTTGTCACATTTCAAAAATCTGTTAACAAAAATTATGTTGAATGCACCATAAAACTGGGCTTCCTTAACATCCCAGTTGGTATTACTCCTCTGCCCCAACCTTCAGCTTTTGTTTCTTAAACAGCTTTTATTTAGTAATTTCTGTAACAAAAAGATGAGAGAACTTGCTGAGTGAAAGACTGAAAGCAAGGGTTTCTTGCAAGTTAATGTAAGTTTAATTATATTAAAATATCACCCCATACTGCTTTATGTATAATTTTGCAGCCATGTGAGATGTTCTTCATATTTTTCATGTGAGATTATAGCACTTTGTGTAGCCAGATACTTATTACTTTTGCAACAAGATAGCTCGGCCCCTTTCAAGGTTTATGTGCTTTCTATGAATTGCTGAGCAACTCTGAACATCTGACCTTGATAGTTTAAGGCTCTCAGTGCCTCAGAATCAGAGCTAGAGGTTGCAGCTGGTGTGCTTAAAGACAGCGATGAAACTTTTTTGGCTCTTGTTTTTTCTCTAATGCCATCATTCTCAACCAGGGTGCTGTGGGGTTACCACTGTTAGGTGTGAAAATACCATTTACAAAATAAACACAGGTTTCAAAAAAGGAATCCATGGTGTTAACAATGTTTTGCCCTGCTGTGGTCCTTTTTATTTCTTTTCAACAGAAAAATTGCTTTATTATTTTTCCATAGCCAAAAAATGGGTGAGACCCAACAGTTGGCATTTTCCAAGAGGTACCTTGAGTCTAAAAAGGTTGAGAATCGCTGCTGTAATGGTTCCCCTTAAATGATCCTGTTAGATTACATGCAGTCCTTTACTCCAGAACTCATTATCTGATGTTGTAATTCAGGGTTGCTCCCCACCTTCACTGCATGCCACACTACGCAGAGTCCCTGGGTCCTCTGAGTCCCCTGACTGCAGATTCCCTTGGCAGC